ATGCTGTCATTAGAGTTTAAGTTGCATTGACCGCAACATTTTTTATATATATATTTTTTAAACAAATTCTATTTGTCACACACACAAAAACCAATTTAAGCTCACGACATGAAATTTGAACCCTGTCTTGTGACTCTGCTTTAGAGGGAGCCATGTGTGTCCAGGGCAGGAATTGGCAGTGCAGTTTGTAATTCCACATAAAGGCCTTTAAATCTCTCCGTCTGGATTAGACGAGACGACAGAGACAGACGAGACGACAGAGACTGCAGAGAGCTGCAGGACGCCAAACACCTCCTGCCCTCAGAGTCACAAACTTTACACAGACACAGGGCTTCACTTTATGCTTTACTGAGCTTTGGTTGAGAGAGAAAGTGGTTCAATCATTTTGGTCTCCCATCAGATAATAAAGAGATACTTTGGTACAGAATCTACATGTAGGAGAACAGAAGTGAGAGGAGAGCAGACATTAATGTGGAAAGCATCTATAAGAAAGGGAGATGATGAGTTTTATTATATGAGAGAGAATCTGAGTCGGATACTGTCTTTTTCAGTAAATGAAAAGAAAGCGATTTGAAATTGTTCTATGCATTTTTTGGACAGCAGAGTATAATGTGATAGACAGCTATATTATGTAAAGTTTGTTTTAGAATGTATTTCACTAAACTTTTTACTTGTATGTAAAAACTTAATTTCATAATTCCAAATTATTTTAGAATCATATATCATTATGTGAACTAGAAGTTTAGTACATTACCGTTCAGAGGTTTATGGTCAGTATGATTTTTAATGTTTTACTCACCAAGGATGCAATTTCTAAATGAAAAAAATACAGTAAAACAGTCATATTTTTTTAAATATTATTACAATTTAAAATAAAATTAGTATTGTAATATATTGTAAAATGTAATTTATTTCTGTGATGCAAAGCTGAATTTTCAGCATCATTACTCCAGCCTTCAGTGTCACATGATCTTCAGAAATCACTCTAATATGCTGATTCGTTGCTCAAGAAACATTTTTTATTATTAATGTTGAAAACAGTTGTGCTGCTTCATATTTTTGTGGAAATCATGATAAAATATTTTTTTTGATGAATAGAAAGTTCATAAAACCAGCATTTATTAGAAATAAATTGCTCCAAACCTTTGAACGGTACTGTAAGTATTGATCTATATGGACAGACAGAAAGTATTTTGACAAAACCTGAGTAGAAGTGAAACCACATTTAGGATTTTTTTTTTTTTTAATTACAGCAAAAGGGGAGACTGTTTAATTCTGAAGAAAGTATTTTGACAAAACCTGAGTAGAAGTGAAACCACATTTAGGATTTTTTTTTTTATTACAGCAAAAGGGGAGACTGTTTAATTCTGATAATCTGATAATCAAGCATTATGTTATGACTGGGAGATATTTACACTTTGAAAAGTCTCTATTATATAATAACATTAGTTGATAATCTCATGCTCTCGTAAATCACTGATTGTTTTGGTGGATTTTGTTCTACTTTGCAAGGGCAAGAAACAAGTTGCCTCTAAACCAGGCATGACCTCGAGCAATGTCGCAATATTGTGTAGAAACAATGCATGAGCATTTGAGAGGAGTCTGAACAATTCCCTTGTGTATTACCCATAAACATGCTTGGAAGTCTTGAGTAACTTCAACACACATTGTTTGAATTGTTCACTCATAGTCTAATCTAGTTAGAAGAGCTGTCAGCTCATTATTGACCTCGAGGATATCTGTGTGTTATTGAGCGTATTTGTGTCTGTTAGCCATCTTTGACCTTATTTATTCATCCCGTTCTTTCATATCTCCTCTATTAACCCAAAAGGAATCGTCCCAGACGGGCCGTCAGTGGCCCACCTAGTCTGCTCATTGTCTGACCCTGGCCTCCCCTCCGGTGCATTTGTCACTGCCATCATTGGCTTTCATGGTTCTCCGTCTTTCTCTCCGTCATCCTTCTATCTCTATGGCCTCTGATGAGTCTGAGAAGGTGGGCATGAATACACTGAATGTGGGAGTGCTGAGGGTATTAAGGGGGATTTGGGGGATTGAGGGTCTTTTGCTATTGAGGTACATTAGACATGGTTGGCAATGAAGTGTCTGCCGCACAGCGTCACGCTCCCGGAGCCAAGAATAAGAGCAACAGTACGCCTGCGGAACCTGCTGCCAGAGAATTCCACAGAAAACTCGACACATTTCCATAGAATTCAAATGCATGCCATTCATAAAATTCTACACAGCCCCTCCCCTTGCTGTGACTTTGAGAGTTTTTGTGTAAATGTTGTTTAAATGTGCAAGTGTGCAATTTTTTGATGCCATTAATAGTATCACCAAGTGGAACTGTAAACATAAGTACTGTTTTCAAAAGTTTCGTAAACACTCCCCCTATCTGCTATTGGTGGGACCCAATGATAGCCTCGCCCCCAAACCATGCCATTGGTCGAGCCAGTGTTGCTGTTTAGGATGGGAAGTTTATATTGTTTTGGAGTTAAATCAACTTATGAATGGCTTACTTTTAGTTGTTTTCTGCATATTAAACTGGTATATGAAAAAGTGTTTTAACCCTGAAAAAATGACACGGATCAGCTTATTAAATACCATGTTTTTTTTAAATAAATTTTATATTAGTTTCTGCTTAAATGAAATGTTAAATGTTTCTTAAATGTTTCTGCTCAGCTGAAAGTTTTCCCAGAATATTTTATTTTGAATATTTAGGTATTATTATGTTGTTTGGACGGTATAATCCCCCCCCCCCCTTCTAATAATATAATTTTGATAGCTTTGAATAAAAGCTGTTTGCGTTTTTTTTTAAATAAAGAAAAATTATATTGCTTTCAGCTCAATGTTATTTTAATATAATTTATATACTATGATAATTTTTATTTTATTTTTTACATTTGCAGTATTTATTTTAATTTTAGTTTAAGGTTTGGTCATTCTGTTATGTGCTTTTATCATTTTTATTATTTTATTTTTTTAATTTGTTCTCACTTTATTTGTATTTCAGTTTTAGTAATTGTAGTGCTTAAACTTATTTCAGGTAGTTTCCAAGGCAGCTTCTTTTAATATTTACAGTTTATTTTAATTTTAGTTTAATTTCAATTACTGAAAATTATTTGCACACACAAAAGGATCACTTGTTGAAAAATTAATGTGAAAAATTGTAACATTCAATATGGCGACTATAGGAATGCCAGAAGGCCAGTAGTTATTTTGATATGGGCATCCGCTGTTATTTATAATCTTGACACAGTTTTGGAGATGGCAGGCTTTCCTTTTTAAAGTAGTTTTAAAAAGGAAAATAGCTCTTTGGGGGTATTTCTAAGATTACTTGAATTTTGTTTTTAAAGTATACAAGTATTTCCATTTAATACTATCATATGGTATCAAGTGAATCAGTACAAAAATGTGAAAAAGGTGGACCTAGTTACAGATTCAGGACATCAGACCACCTCTCTACAGAGTGGCCAGTGTTTGGTGTGTGTGTGTGTGTGTGTGTTTCCGTAAAACCAATACAGATGCTGCAGTGGTTCTCTATGACGTGTCAGGAAGTGTAGGTTTAAGTGTGATTGAGCATGTGTTAGTGTGTGTGTGTGCGTTTACTCGAGAACTAACAGGGAGGTTTGTGTTAAAGTGAAACTTTGTGTATGTATATATTCTGAGCTTATAAGATCTCAGATGCGTGTTTACATGTTGGGTTTACCTGAGCCTCATGCGCTGTCAAACACCTAATGGAAAAATTAACTGAGTGAACCGTTTTAAGCTTTAGGGAGGTCATCACAGAGAGCCGTTGATTCCCATGACAGGCTGAAAATATATCAAAATCTTTTCTTCAACTTATAATTAAACTTTTAATGATCTGCTGGCTCATCGTCCACAGGCTGACAATTACAGCAAAATCAATGTTATGTTTTAGAATAACATTGTTGAACCGCTGCGGGTCTTGGAAGGGGTCCAGTCGTTTACTCTGATGAGAGATGGAGGTTAATTCGATTAGAAAGAGCAAGATTTACACCATCTAACCCATCAGGAGGTGATGAAGCCGTCTCTCTGCGCTCTGTCTGCTCACTTGTCTGTTTATCTGTCCATCTAGCTCACTTGTCTGGATGTCCATCTGCTTTCTTTCTGTTCTTCCAGTTTTTGGTTTATTTTGTTGATTTGTCAATCTGTTATCTGTACTTTCAGAATTTACAATTTTTGAGGATTTATATTGGATTTATATTGGTCGTTCTTTTCCATGCAGTTACAGTGAGGGACTGAAGCTTTCAGAAAGTCCATATTCCAAGTCTTTTTTATTTTAATAACAAGGTGTATTTAATAAGAGTGCATTAGTGGCCGCTCACTTTTTCAGTGATTGGTTTCTGAATTTTTTTTTTCATTCATTTTTCCCGTAGGGATTTTTAAAAAGTCTTTGTAAAAGTGTTATAATCCATGAAGTAAACCAACCAGCTATGAGGTAAATCACAACATTAAAAACTTTTATTTGAAGCGAAAAAGTATTTGAAAATCAAGCAAAAGGACAAGACTTGATGGCTTTAAGGGAAAGAACTACAATCCCTTGAAGCATTGTGAATGACATAATCAAATTAAAAATGAAATGTAAAACTATTCAATTAAAGTTGTTGATTATATCTATAAAGCAATGTATTTTACATTTATTGTAAATTATGCATATAGAAATATTTAAGTATTTTGATAGTGTAGGGAGACCGACTCGATTATGCCGTTTGTGACGTTCCCTGCAAGCTCTTTTTGTTCGCTGCAACTCTCTTGATTGGTGAATTTTTTTTGTGCAGCATCATGGGTAATGTAGTTTATCACCACAAATTCTGCTGTTAAACATGATTATTCAAAAAATAAGTTCAACAAAAGGATACACTGTTGATTAACCTCGTAGCTCACAACAGGTAAAAGTTATTGCTAAAATCAGTTTTCACTTTGGGAGCACGACTGTTGCACTCTGTAACGTGATTCGTTTTCATCTCTCCTCTTCTCAGGACTCTCTCACCGTTTACAAGTACAGGAGTGGTTGTTGCAGTAACCATGACAGCATTGCCGTTCCGGGTCGGACCGCTGCTCTTCTCTGGACTTGTCATCTTCCGCCTCCTCTCTCTGCCTCTCGTCACGTCACAGACGCCATCACTCCCAGCGACCTCTGACCCGGAGTCTGCGCCCTCTCTGCCTGGAGAGTGCCTGAGAAAAATGCACCCCGTTACCTCCTACACAGGTGGGTGTAAAATAGCTCACTCTCTCCTGCCCTTTCCATCATCGCATTTGGAGCCAAAGGTTAAAACGATAAGCCTTTGAATCATTTTTTCTCCGCTGAACATCTCGGTAATATTGGTTGAGCTAGTAAAAACTGCAACATAGCCGAACGTCTCCATTGCAGCTAGATCAGAAGAGACCATCTAACTGAAACCAGAGATGGTATAGGGAGGATAAAAAGAGTAAAATGAATGGGAGAAATCACATTGCTCACTATGATGGTTGTAAATTTCAGTTACAAGAGCCTTTTTGAAAAAGACATCACTTTTGTATTTTATTAGCTAGTCCATATTTATTACATATTTATTCATATATATATATATATATAAATATAAAACAGTAAAGACATTTATAATGTTACAAAGAATTCCATTTTAAATAAATGCTGTACTGTTGAACTTTCTATTCATCAAAGAATCCTGAAAAAAAAGTTTCCTCAAAAATATGAAGCAGCACAACTGTTTCAACATTGATGATTAAAAGAAATGTTTCTTGAATATTAAAGCAGCATGATTTCTGAATGATTTCTGAAGGATCATGTGACATGAGAAAATTCAGCTTTGCATCACAGGAATAAATTACATTTTACAATACAGGTGCATCTCAATAAATTAGAATGTCGTGGAAAAGTTCATTTATTTCAGTAATTCAACTCAAATTGTGAAACTCGTGTATTAAATAAATTCAGTGCACACAGACTGAAGTAGTTTAAGTCTTTGGTTCTTTTAATTGTGATGATTTTGGCTCACATTGTGGTTAACTCTTAACTTTTATAAAGAATATCTCTTTGGTTTTGAGACTTTAGTCTTTGCAACTTTACAGATCTTCTTTATGCACCAAGAGCTTGTAACACTTCAAAGAGAAAGGAAAAATTGAAATCGCATCATATGACCCCTTTAAAGGTGCTATAAGCAATTTCATTTGTTCTGCTGATTTCTGCTAGACTTAAGCCTGGTTCACACAGTATGATTTTGGCCACGATTTTGCCATCTTAGGCAAATTTTTGGAAATCATGAAAGATTAAAAGGGCAAAATCAGTTTCTGAGATGATTGCACAACTGACACAAATGGTGACTGAAATCTTAAAGGGATAGTTCACCAAAAGAAAAAGAAAATTCTGTCATCATTTACTCACCTTCATGTCGTTCCAACATTAGTCCGAATTGTTTTGGTTCCTATTGACTTCTATTGAATGGCAAAAAAAATACAATGGAAGCCAATGGGAACTGACACTATTTGGTTTACCAACATAATAGATGATATTTTGAAGAAAGTTGGTACCCAAACAGTTTCAGTTCCCTTTGACTTCCATTGTATGGAATTGGCTGTTGTAGTCCTCATTTCTCCTAAATGAATAAATGTAATGTGGACAGATAAAAAAAACAACACAAGTGATTTCTGAAGGATCATGTGACACTGAAGACTGGAGAAATGATGCTGAAAATTCAGCTTTGATCACAGGAATAAATTACATTTTAAAATATATTAAACTAGAAAACTGTGATTTTAAATTGTAAAAGTATTTCACAATTTTACTGTTTTTATTGTATTTTTGGTCAAATCAATGCAGCCTTGGCAAGCGTAAGATACCTACCAACCACAAAGTGTTTGTGTGTAAATTGCATCAGTGCATAATGCATCTTATGATGAACAAGACTATTAATGCATGAATCAAAATCACTTAGACAGTTCCTGACACGGTTTATTAAACATCTACACTGTATGTGTGCAGAGACAAATCACAGAACAGTGCAATCGCTGAGCAGCATGAAGAGTATCTCACAAGAAGAATGCATCACATTGGTCTTCATTTGAGCTAACTTGTGGGATTTTTCTCAATTAGTGGTATTACAAACAGTGGAAACCAGCAGCTAAACAGCAGATCAAACGTCTCGGCTCACAGCTAACTGTCTAAATGTCACCTGTGGCTCTTTTCTGCTTCATATGCTGGCCAGATGTTAAAGGTTAACACAGCTGTGTGTACGATCACGCCCTGCAGTTTCTAATATCACACATTAATCGCCACAGTCTGCTCTGATAGTATGCAGGGCTACACTGTAAGTGTTTATATTGTCCTCTATTATATAAGTGTTAGTGAATTGCTGTAGTAGCAGAAGCTGCTGTACACTAAAGACATTAAGAGAGTGATTTTGCCCATCGAGAGAGATTCAGGAGCATTTATTTTTTAAATGTGAGACAGTGAGGGTGTAGTCGTCTGTTTTTGGGTGATAACGACCCTGATTTACAGCAAAGCTTGCTTCAGCACTGTTTGGAGAACTAAATGGACTGCATACCCAATGTTTCTTCTCTTCAGCCGAGCTGCTCCTGAAATGCCTGATAATTTCATCATTAGTCACTGTTTTCTTTTTGCCGCCAAAACGTTTTCAGTTCCGGTTGAGTTTGAGCAACGTCTCTCTCCTGCAGGTAGGATGTAATTTTCTTTCTCTCTTTCTTTCTTTATTCTCCTTCCCATCTGTCCATCCAATCATCTTGACGTCTCTAGAAATGCAGTACCAGCACTGTCCATTTAATTCATCCCATGCCAGACACACACTCAGACTCAGTCTTTATTATGATTGCCCACATGTTCTAAAGTGCTGATGCACAGAAGCAGAAATATCCAACAAATGAAACATACACGCACACACACACACATATTCAGTAGCATCTGATATTGTTGACAGATGTTTGAAAAGCATTGACTTCCAAGACTGCTGCATCATGTTCAGCATCCTGAGTTGAGCTCCTCTCCTCTGAATCTCTTGAAAGGAGGAACCCAAAACAATGTTTGCAAGTTTTTTTTATTTTATTTATTTTTTGTTTTTTTTCATTAAAAATTAAAATGTCATAATTTGCTCATCCTTCTGTAGAGTATGTTTTGTGCATAAGGATCAGATAATGTCTGTTTGGTACCAGGGTTATAATAATTTTTTTTATTATAATGTATTCATTTATTTTAATCTTCTAATTAGGGGTGCTCCGATCAGGATTTTTGAGGCCGATCGCCGATCACAGACGGCAGTATCTACCGATACCGATCACCGATACCAATCTTTTTAAAGCCTTCTTTTTATCATTTATAACTATTTATATTGATGCTGCAATCAGGATTTTTAGACTTTTATTCAGGGCCTGAATTTCATTTTTGAAAATGGAGGGAATTCCCCTCTTAAGTGTCTCTTGTGAGAGGAGAAGCAGCTTTCACACAGGAGTTCGCTACTGATCCGTGGCTATTTACCACAAACACAACATGTATCCATTATTTTGATTTCAAATCCAAACATAGTCACTGAAAATGCTTTTTCAGCATTGCAATTCTTTTTTTTTTACACAGTACAGTAATACAATCTTTCACAGACATGTTTAAACACAATAAATATAAGCAACACATTTTTCAATGCTTTTTACTTTTGCATTTACTTCTAGATTTATATATTAAGTGGCAAAACATTTAAACTACTTTTCTTACGTTATCACAATCTTACCATTGACAGAAATAGTCAGCTCTACTGCCTTACAGACGCACCGCTCCTGGAACGCACTGCCGGACCGCAACCGTGTGCAGTGAATGCTTTAATAATCCGTTAACATGAGCGCGGAAAAAATACGCACCACCTATGCACTGCAAACGGAGTAATGTGAACCTGGCGTTATGTGTGTGCGCTGCGAGTGTGCATGAGCGTACGGTCTCCAGGAGAGCGCGCGAGCGCTGAATGGTTAAACACTGGCAAGAATTATAAAGTAATGCAAATGTTGTGGTGCAAATTACATTTTATAATCATTTTAAATAAAAAGGCTGATACTTTCACTTTGTTTAACTTCATTTTTTTTTTTCAAAGGTGATTTTAGTCATCTTGGTAAACACCTTAGGAAGTAAGTATGAAAAAGTATTTTGAAAAAAATTTAGGGCCAAGATTGTTGGTTGTGGTAGAAATTATGCTAAAAAAACAGCTGAAATGTGTTTATAGTAGAATTAAAAATGTCATTATTCATATTTGTATGATGAATTTTCATATTTTAAGATAGAAAGTCTGATTCTGGGACAAGGTAATAATAAAAGCAATACATATTTTTTTTTTTTTTTTAATTTTTTTTTTATTTATTTTACTCCCTGGGAAATTAAAGTGCCTGAAGTAATACTCCTTTATGAAAAATGAGAAATATCCAAAGATATGAAGACCTTAACTGCTTAAAATAACATTTTTTAAAAAGCTGCATTGAAGCTGTGTGTAATTTCTCAGCCATTAGCATCACAAAATGGAGTAATGACTGTTTTCAAACAGGTTTCCTGAAAACTTGCTTCGTATTTTATCAGTGAAACATACAGAACTCACTTCATTGGCTACTCCAGACAGTGAGATTCAGCAAAGTTATATACATCAGCCATGTCCGTAAATAAAAAAGATATCTGTTGCATCTCATGTCAATGATTTATTATATCTGTCTTGAAATCGTTCTAGTTTAATAATGGTTCTGCGTCAGGAACAGGCCGCAGAGAAAGATAGAGAGGGCAGATAAGAGTGTTTTAGCTGAGGTCAAATGATCGTGCCTGGATGAGCAGATCTTGAGTGTGTTGGAGAAAAAACACAACCCCACAACCTCCAGAGGTGACACAAGTCTGACCCCTCTAGATCATTCAGGGTGAGTCCTGCTCTTCAAATGAAAGCGCCTTTCACGTGTTGTTCAGTGACTGACTGCAGAGGCACGGCTAGATTGATGATTGCTTTCTAAACCCTTGCGCTCTCTTTGTTTCTCTGTCTTTTTCTTAAACAAGCAGCATGAAATGTAGTTTGCAAAAGTCAAGTGAACAGATGCAGTTTGTCTTAACGTGTGTAATCAGCTCCGTTTGTAGATGAGTGTGTGCTCATCAGAAGCGCCTGCTGCTTTTCAAGAGTGCAGAAGCACAGATGTCACTTATCAATCGCAAAATATGCACTACAATCCATGCACTCTTTTTATGTTAGTGTATGCAATGTTGCTCCTAAAACTTCTCAAACTACCACTAAACAGCAAAAGCAGTTAAGGAAAATAATTGATCGTGCTCAGACCTGCATTTTTACAATATTTACAAATGGCAACAGGAACAAGATTATGTTTTTAAATTTCAGGCTGTCAGTCATGTATATCACTTCCGTTATTGCCTGTTTGTTGCATAGTTGAAACCAATGAACATCAGTCTTTGCTCCATTAAAGTCAAAGCTCCATCAAAATAAACTCTTAAAATTTTAATGGGGCTCTTTATCATAATGCGTCCGGGAATTTTAGTTTTTTGTCATTCCCTTTTTTTGGTGACTCTCATTACTGTAATAAAGTTCCTATATTATAGTAAAAATACTGTAGTACAATGATATATGACATTTAAAGCAGCATAAATTCAATGCAGTACTAAGTACTACAAATACAGCTATAATGTACAGATTCTTTACAGTTAAAATAGTTTATCTTTATTTTTTTTCTCTTTAGAGTAATGATAAATTTACGCTTTGTCATTTAGCAGATATTTTTATCAAAAAAGTTAGATTAAAAAAAAAAAAAAATGTTTTTAAAAGAAGTCTCTTCTGCTCACCAAGGCTGCATTTTTTTACTGTATTATTTTTGACCAAATAACAGTAATTTTGTGAAATATTATTACAATTTAAAATAGCTGTTTTCTATTTGAAAATATTTTAATTTGTAATTTATTCTTGTGATGCAAAGCTGAATTTTCAGCATCATTACTACAGTCTTCAGTGTCACATGATTTTTCAGAAATCATTCTAATATGCTGATTTGCTGCTCAAGAATTATTATTTTTAATGTTGAAAAAAGTTGTTCTGCTTCGTATTTTTGTTGAAAACATACCTTTTTCAAGATTATTTAATAACTAAAAAGTTCAAACAAATAGCATTTATTTTAAACAGAAGTCTTTTATAACTTCATAAAGGACTTTACTGTAACTTTTGATCAATTTAATGTGCCCTTGATGAATAAAAGTATTATTATTTACTACAGTCTTCAGTGTCACATGATTTTTCAGAAATCATTCTAATATGCTGATTTGCTGCTCAAGAATTATTATTTTTAATGTTGAAAAAAGTTGTTCTGCTTCGTATTTTTGTTGAAAACATACCTTTTTCAAGATTATTTAATAACTAAAAAGTTCAAACAAATAGCATTTATTTGAAACAGAAGTCTTTTATAACTTCATAAAGGACTTTACTGTAACTTTTGATCAATTTAATGTGCCCTTGATGAATAAAAGTATTATTATTATTTTTTTAATCTTTAAGAAATGTAAAAAAAAATCTTACTGACCTCAAACCTTTGAACTGTATAGTGTATATTTTGATTTTAGGGTGAAGTCTGGCCCAGTCCAACCTAATGTGTGATAGTGTGAGTTTAATAGTCTAGATCTGACTGTGATTATCATTGTCATAAAACTTCCCCCGGCACAGACGTTAATCTGTGAGGAGCTCTGTGTTTTATCTGTGACCTTTCCACACCTCTCACTCCATTCAGACTCTGCTGGGATCCTCACAGTTCTCCAGCTGATGCCTTCAGGAAGGGTCACGTCCAATACAAAATCATGCTTTATTATTTCATTCTATAGTGTGTGTGTGAGAGACTCTGGTCTGCATCATTATTTTCAAGCCAAATGACAACACGGATAAACATGACAAAGCAGTCTGTGAAAGGAGAGGGAGGGACAAGGAACAAAACAGAGGAAGAACGTCTAAAACGAGTGAAACAACACATTCAATGGTTTTCGTTTCAGATAAGAGAACCAATGCGATTAGGACAAACCATCCAGTGTTCCCTAATTAAATGTCACACAGCTGCTTTGCCTCACATGCAGCGAAACTCTCCGTCTCCGACTCTTTTTGTCTTGTATTATTGTGTATTTTGTACCTTCTTCACGTTAAGGAAAGAAGCTGAGTGAATGGAATGGGAGAATTGAATGACTGAATATCTTTCATAGTTTTAGTTCATTAACTACTTCTGCCTCCTAATCATAATAACGAGAAAAGTTTAGGTTTGTTGTCATGGCTTTTTAAAGGTAAAAGGAATGTTGATATTTGCACTTTACAGAACTAGTTTGTTTGGACAGTTCGTTTAAATGAACTGGTTGAAGTGAACAATTGACAGATTTGTTTGAATCATCAGTAAACGGTAGTCTCTGTGTGACCTTTTATAATTTTTGCTGTGAACTAAATATTTAAATACTGTTGTTTATGATTCCGACATCACCGTTTTACTCGCTACCAAGGTTCTTACAGCTGAGTGATGAACGTGTTGTGAATCAGTTCAGTCGAATCATTAAAATGATTCCTTGACTTGTAAATATGTCTTGCATCTGAAACACTCTCTATGTAGTCTGGACTATAGACAGGCAAAGCGGCATTTCTGCCTTGAGTTGTGAGTGTAATAGTGTGAATTGCACAATTGCTACAAAAAATGCTAATATTCTATGTCTGCAGAAACAGTCAGATGCATTCGACATGTTGAAGTGCTGTATTAAAAGTAAAACTTTTAAAAAAGTTTAAAAAAAAAGTAAAACTAAAAAAGTTTACTTAAAGGGCCCTACCAAATACACAAAATAATGATCTTTAAAAAAGCGTCATATGACCCCTTTAAAATAAATGTAAAAGTAAATAAAACTGAAATAAACTTAAAAAAATATATATATATATACAATAATAAAAAAACTAAAATAAAGAAATAAAAAACATTTCTCATTTTCATTTAGTTTAACTTCTAGACATTTAGTATAATGTTTATTTATATGAAATATATAAAAAAACGAATAAAAAATTACGCTAAAATAAAAACACAACAAAATGACTGAAACATTAACTAACAAAATGAAAACAAAATATAAAAAAAACGAATTAAAAATATTAATAAAATCTATAATAGTTGATTCTAAAATAACACTACTTAAACTGAAACTTAAATAAAAATGACTAAATGGTGTTAACACATTAAAAAACAATAATGGAAATGACAAAAACACAACAAATTTACTAAAACTTTAAGTAAAATTTAAATTAAAACAGAAAAAAAACATTCAAAATATGTAAAAAAAAAAAAAAAAAAGATGTTGGTCAGATGTTGGTCTATTGTTACGTGACAAGCAGGTAAACAATATCTAAAAAACAAAAAAGCTTTTTGAATTATTTTAAAATTATTTAATTAATTTGATTAATTCTTAGTTTTTCATCAATTGCAGGCCACAGAATGGGGAGTAGACGAGAGCACCAGGAGGTCCTGCCAGAGCAAAGGAAAGACAGAGGTGAGAGATGAACACTGGGATGCGCTCTGTGAATGAGTGTTTGTTATAGAGTGCCTCAGTAGGGTTCTGGAAGTAAACTGTAATGTGTGTGAATGAAATGTTTCTTCTCTCTCAGGATGAGTGTCAGAACTATGTCCGTGTCCTCCTGTTGAACGGCAGTCGTCTGTTCACCTGCGGCACTAATGCTTTCATGCCCATGTGTACGACTCGCCCTGTTACGGACATCTCCAGCGTCCTGGAGTCCATCGGCGGGGTGGCTCGCTGTCCCTACGACCCTCGACACAACTCTACAGCCATGATAACTGAGAGTGGAGAAGTCTACGCGGCCACAGTGACGGATTTCTCCAGCCGCGACCCCATTATTTACCGTAGTCTGGGGAACATGCCGCCCCTGCGGACCGCACAGTACAACTCCAAATGGCTCAATGGTACAGCGGGACAACACACAACTTATCAATGAATCTGAAAAATCCTGGAAAAATAATATTTTTAGGTCACATTTTACATTAAAATCAAAATAGCACCTGTATATTAAATTACATTTTGTTTAAAGAAAATCTAGCATATTTTAGGACCTTTATGATTTTTTTTTTTTTTGCATTATAACATAATTTTCATGACAGTTAAGCTCATTTTGACCTATATTCTCATTCCTGAAAAAATAATGATAATTTAATTGTATTTTTTTACTTATAGATCATGGTAGTATTTGTTTTACTTACCTTAATTTATACATTATTTGTCAATTAAAAAATTTAAACTTATTACTGCATATAATGAAGTATCAAAATATTGTGTTAGAAAATTAAACACAAACACAACAGTTAAACATCTGGATATTGTTTATGATTTAAAAATGCATTAAATCATTACAACATATTTTTACTGTGATAACATTTATTTTAAAAAAAAACATTATATTAGCTTATTTTATTCATGCAGCAATGCTGTATAAGAAAATTCAACAATGAAACATGACAAAAATTAAATAAACTCAAAAGTTAAGCATCTGGACACATTTTTTATTTAAAAATGTTGCATTAAGTATTTTATTACAACATTTTTACTGTGATAAAAAAATATTTTAAATAAAAACATTAAAATTGTTTCAGTATATATCGTATTTTTCACTGTGATAAAAAAATGTATTACAGTGATGAGAATCACCACTGAGAATGAAAAATGTAAAGAATTTTGAGGGAAATAATATCACAATTCAAACATCCTAATAGTTTTAAATATTCTTCAATTTCTTTAAATAAAACTTATTTTTCCTTCTGATTTTGGTGTGAAAAGTGACCTGGCCATGTTTTTGTGATTCACCCTTATATTTAGATCTATTTATTGAAATAATTATCTTTAAGGAATTATATTTTGTCATGTCAAACCACACCGCTGTCAGTGAAAGTAAGACAACCATGTTCTTCCTTCCCTTCTTCTCTACAGAACCTCACTTTGTCTCTGCATACGAGGCGGGCCGCTTCACGTATCTCTTTCTGAGAGAGAACGCAGTAGAACAGGACTGTGGGAAGATGGTCTTCTCTCGTGTGGCGCGCGTGTGTCAGAATGACATTGGTGGTCGTTTCCTGCTGGAAGACACATGGACCACCTTCATGAAGGCTCGACTCAACTGTTCCCGCTCTGGAGATGTTCCCTTCTACTACCATGAGCTGCAGAGCACCTTCTACCTTCCTGAGCAAGATCTCATCTATGGAGTCTTCACCACCAATGTGTGAGTGGATGCTTCATGAATTACTGAATATATATATATATGTGACCCTGGACCACAAAACCAATTTTTTTGTCAATTTTTCGAAATTGAGATTTATACATCATCTGAAAGCTGAATAAATAAGCTTTGTTAGAGGATAGGACAATATTTGGCCGAGATACAACTATTTGAAAATCTGGAATCTGAGGATGCAAAAAAAATCTAAATATTGAGAAAATCGCCTTTAAAGTTGTCCAAATGAAGTTCTTAGCAATGCATATTACTAATCAAAAATTAAGTTTTAATATATTTACGGTAGGAAATTTACAAAATATCTTCATGGAACATGATCTTTACTTAATATCCTAATGATTTTTGGCATAAAAGAAAAATTTTGACCCATACAATGTTTTTTTGGCTATTGCTAAAAATATACCCAAGCGACTTAAGACTGGTTTTGTGGTCCAGGGTCACACACACACACACACACACACACATATATATATATATTTAAAATATTTGTTTTCTATGTGAATATATGTTAAAATGTAATTTATTCCTGTGATTTTCAGCATCATTACTCCAGTCTTCAGTGTCACATGATCCTTCAGAAATCATTCTAATGTACTGATTTGCTGCTCAAGATATATTTATTATTATTATAAATGTTGAAAACAGGTGGAAACAGTGATACACTACCATTCAAATATTTTGGATAATAAAAACAACAACAACAAAAAAACTTATACTTTTATTGAGCAAAGTTACATTAAAAGTAACTGTAAAGACATTATTAATGTTACAAATGATTTATTTTTCAAATAAATGCTGTTTTTGAACTTTGTATTCATCAAAGAATCCTGAAAAAAAAATTGTATCATGGTTTCCACAAAAAAAATATGAAGCAGCACAACTGTTTTCAACATTGATGATAATAATAAGAAATGTTTTTGAGACTGGAGTAATGATGCTGAAAATTCAGCTTTGCATCACAGGAATAAAATACAATTTGCAATATATTCAAATAGAAAACGGTTCTTTTTAATTGTAATAATATTTCACAATAATACTGTTTTTACAGAAGCCTTGGAGAGAATTACTAACCCTCTTTTGCCATAAAAAAATAATGTCAGGATTTACTAAAGACACACAGTGAAAAATCAGTGATGAAAAGGCATGGACACAGTTATTTTTGCAGGTGACCTTATTGCAAATGCATTTGTAGGAGTTTCAGAAGCAACATTTGTGGTAGGAGAATATTACAATCAATCATGCAAGGTGATTTACTAAGGTTGACGCTAATCAGTTGACTGCTATTTGTGCCATTATTTAACTTCCAAAAAAGCATCTGAACCCATTTTGTGCTTGACATGGCTGTGATAGTTGCTAATTTGCTTGGTAGATTGCATTGGTCATTATGGAAAGGATCTGGCTGTGTCTGTGTTCTTTAATTTGCCCTTTGTCAGTTAATCACCAGCAGAACTTTTCCCTCCCATTGGTGCTTTTAAGGGATTGCGGTCTCACGCTAAATTGCCCTGTTAATAAATCTAGCCCTTTCTCACCCTTAACTGTTGAACACTACTGTTTTTCTATTAAGATGTCGAATGTTCAGCACCTCACCATCCTTCACTTCTTCCTCTCATTTCTCTTCACAGGAACAGCATTGCTGCGTCAGCGGTGTGTGCGTTTAACCTCAGTGCCATCACGCAGGCCTTTAACGGACCCTTTCGTTATCAGGAGAACCCTCGGACCAGCTGGCTTTCCACTCCCAACCCCATCCCAAATTTTCAGGTGAAGGAAATGAACTGCTGCAGCTTTTCATTTCAAAGCATTTTACTTTTACCCTGAAGCCAACTCACAATTCTATTCAAGACATTTGGCAGCAAATACATTAGTCAGTTCGATTTAGATTGACCGTTTCTCTAACGTGCCGTTCCTCATCACCTATCTCTGGCTGTAATGTCCTCTTTCTCTGTGCCAGTGTGGGACAGTGAATGATTCGGGTCCGGGCGGTAATCTAACAGAACGCAGTCTTCAAGACGCCCAGCGGCTCTTTCTCATGAGCGAGGTGGTTCAGCCCATCTCCACGGATCCTCTGGTCACGCAAGACAACATCCGTTTCTCCAGACTGGCTGTGGACATTGTTCAGGGAAGAGACACGCTCTACCACGTCATGTACATCAGCACAGGTCAGGAAGGAAGAGAGTTTGACATTCAACACTTTTGTCCTCCAGTGTTGTGCACTGTGGTTCTAATAGTTTTCTTTCATTGACCAATCAGAGTATGGCACCATCATCAAAGCCTTATCCACAACTAATAAGAGTCTGCGCGGATGTTACTTGGAGGAGATGAGCATTCGCCCAGAAAACATGCAGGAGCCAATCCTGAACCTGCAGATTCTGCACAGCGATAGGTCGCTTTTCGTGGGACTTCCCAGCAGAGTGCTGAAGATCCCTCTGGAGAGATGCTCCAACTACAAAACCGAACAGTGAGTCGCGCACATGCACACGTGTCAACTAGGACAGGCACATTAGTCAACTACTGTAGGTTTTGTGAATAACAGCTGACTAGTTTGTTAAAATGTTTTGAAAGAAGTATCAGTAAAGATGCATTTATTTGATCAAAAATACAGTTATATTGTGAAATATTACAATTTAAAATAAGTGTTTTCTATTTGAATATACATCTACCGTCATTTGCAAAGCTCTTTCAAATGCTAATATCAGCTGTTGAGCAAAGAAAAACACTGTAAGCTTTGTAAAAAATGGATGCGATGACACTAAATTGGGGCCATGCACAAAAAAAGCACTTGGAAATTCTCTTCAAAACCAGGTGAAATTGACTGACGTGCTGCTGAGTCTCATTGTCCTGATCCTCAACAGTGTCCTGCAGGAGTCTGGTCATCTCCTTCCACAGCTCCAGCAGCTCCGAATCCTCCAGCCCTTCCTCTGCCTCCCTCTCCCTCACCTGGATTAACCTCCTCCACACTCTGGCCACCTGTGGGTGGAGTAGCAAACATTCCACACATATGCAGATATAAAGCATGATGGTGACTTTAGAAAATAATGTGTAGATTTGTGTAGGTAACAGACAGTTGTAACATCAAGTCCTTCTAATCATATTTAAAGATCACACCTGTAAATAGTTCTTCTCCAACTGATAGACTTCCACCAACTTCTTGCTCACTTCAACACATTTTGCTTTGTCTGAGCTGCAAACAGAGAAATAAAATAAAAAAATCAAGCAATAGTATTCTTTTAATCTTTAAAAAAAAAAAAGGTAGATTTTAATTCAGGTTAAAACATTTATGACTGGTTCTGAAACACTTGTGGTGTTCGGTTTAATGTGTGGTGTGTGTGATAATGGTGTATAATACAATGACATTTTCACTTTTTGGAGAAAATTTTAGAAAAGCCCTGGTCTTGGTAACGCAAGATTGCTAGAAAGAAGCATACATTGAATAAATAAATAAACTAATTGTTTATGAATTTAAATTCTCAACGTAACAAATATGGCAATGACACCTAAAGAATCTTTCAGATCACGATGTAAAAAAAAAGACTGACATTTCTGAGCTTTGAACTTTTATTCTGCTGCCCTGGAAAAGACGTGCTCCCATCTCACTTCTCATATCTACGATAACCAAACATAAATGTTTTGGAGACAAATGTGACCCTGGACCACAAAACCAGTCTTAAGTCGCTGGGGTATATTTGTAGCAATAGCCAAAAATACATTGTATGGGTCAAAATTGAATTAGGATCATGTAAAGATCATGTTCCATAAAGATATTTTGTAAATTTCCTACTGTAAATGTATTAAAACTTAGTTTTTGATTAGTAATATGCATCGCTAAGAACTTTATTTGGACAGCTTTAAAGGCGATTTTCTCAATATTTAGATTTTTTTTGCACCCTCAGATTCCAGATTTTCAAATAGTTGTATCTCGGCCAAATATTGTCCTATCCTAACAAACCATATATCAATGGAAAGCTTATTTATCCAGATTTCAGATGTATAAAGCTCAATTTAAAAAAATTCTTTAAAGGCGATTTTCTCAATATTTAGATTTTTTTTGCACCCTCAGATTCCAGATTTTCAAATAGTTGTATCTCGGCCAAATATTGTCCTATCCTAACAAACCATACATCAATGGAAAGCTTATTTATCCATATTTCAGATGATGTACAAATCTCAATTTCGAAAAATGTACCCTTATGACTGGTTTTGTGGTCCAGGGTCACATTTATGATTATCAGTGTTGAAAACGGTTGTGCTGCTGTCATACATTTTCTTCCAGGAAGTTTGAAACATTATAAATGTATTTACTGTCACGTTTGATCAATTTACTGCATCCTTGCTTAATAAAAGTATGAACTAGTTTAAAAAAAAATCATACTGACCCTAAACTTTTGAATGGTAGATTCCTGAGAAATATGATAGGCTACTATAAGACTGAAAAAATGGCAGTGATTTCTTTGGCGCTGAATGCAACAAGATTTTAAATTCCCACATCTTGAAGAATAATTGTGTCAGGAGTCGTTGACAACAGACTCATGAGGTCAGAACGTCCTAACCATGAACATGATTGAACTGTCACATTCACATAGTATCAGTACAGAACTTCCAGATCCCATTTGCCACCATCATCACCACAGTGAGTACCTGTTCACACATGACATCAAAATGCACAGTTGCTGTTAAATTACAGCAAAGGGTGATTACGGCACTTGTCCTTGCTAGATGCCCTTGGAGTCAGACAGGAAATGAAGCTCAAGGAGATGAAGTGAATGACAGTACTTATGAGCAGTCACAGATATTATTATCTCATAAATTCTCCGCGAGGCGGCCGAATGATGAACTAGGTCATTTAAAAAAAATTGCTGTCGTGTTCTCCATCGCTGCTATGAATAGAACACCTATAAATTCTCGAACATCATTAAAAATATATAATGCATGCATCACTCCTCGCAGGAAGCGACTGCATTTACTTTAGAGATGTTATTAGATTTAAAATTCATAAAATAATGGCATCCAAATGGATGAATTGGGCTTCAGAGCTGGATTTGTAAGAGCTTTGTGCAATTCTATGTACCCTAATACTTGGTAAATTGAGTTATAAAATCAAGCAAAACATATTTTTGATCGGCTAAATGACTTCAAGCTCCACATGACACCGTATTTAAAATACACCTTGTGTTATAATAGAGATGTTTGTTTTTCGTCTTCTTACAGCATGTCACATCAGAAGATATTTTCCATGTGATCTGTCAGTTTAGAGGCACATATGTGACCCTGGACCACAAAGCCAGTCTTAAGTCGCTGGGGTATATTTGTAGCAATAGCCAAAAATACACTGTATGGGTCAAAATTAACGAAAAATTTACACTTAAGACTGGTTTTGTGGTCCAGGGTCACATATGTGCTAATGATTCGAGAGTGTCGGTAGTTACTTTAGAAGTAGAAGATTGTCTTTATATGGGGAATGTGATCTACTGAAGACTCTCCCTGACTTCCTGCCGCAGATGTTGTTGCACAAACACTCGGAGCTACACGAGGCGGACACATTTGATGTTAGAGGCTGTTATGGGACATGATGGAACTGTGTGTGTGAAGCCGCTCTGTGTTTAGCATGCCAATGCAATGGAAAGAAGTCATTTCATTACATATTCTCCCCCACGCACACGTACACACAGGTGGCAAAAGGTCAGATCTCACAAGATGTTGCAAATAACTCTAATTATTTTAAACCAGTTCTCATCTGTAGAGTTTGATTGAGCTGCAAGCATTATAATTTTATATAACCTTTAATGTATTCAAATTTATTCTCTTTCTGCATCTCCAGCACGTTTGCAGTTTTCTAATGTTGCCGGTGTTTAGTTGTTAGTGGGACGCTGAGACACATTGTTATATTTGATTTGGTTGTAAAATATGAGTATATACAATGCCGTTCAAAAGTTTGGGGTCGGCTTACCAGGGCTGTATTTATTTGATTAGAAATAAAGTAATGTTGTGAAATATTATCGCCATTTAAAATAACTTAAATTTTTTTAAATGTAATTTATTCCTGTGATCAAAGCTGAATTTTCAGCATAATTTCTCCAGTCTTCAGTGTCACATGATCCTTCAGAAATCATTCTAATATGTTGATTTGATGCTCAAGAAACATTTTTATTATTAAGATAGTTGAAAACAGGTTTACTGATTAATACTTTTGTGGAAATCTGGATACTTTTTTCAGGATTATTTGATGAATAGGAAGTTCAAAAGAACAGCATTTATTTGAAACAGAAACTTTTGAATGTCTTTACTGTAAATTTTAATCAATTAAATAATTTAATCCTGAGTAACTTTTGAAACTTTTGAACACTACTTTATATATGATTGTATGCTTGTGCTTGTAATATACTGGTAACTTACATTGTTTGCTTTTTCAAACTTTGTCCTTCTGAAGAATTACATCATTAAAACAATGAAATATGCTCCTGAATTAATAACACAGTCTCGCTCCACTGAACCTAAAGGACACAAGGAGAAAATGATAAGTCTGTTAGCTGTAATAAATCACAGAGGTTCTGTCAGATGTTATTTATCTCCCAGAGCAGGATTTGAGGTTTATTGTGTCTTCTCTGTAGTTCCTGTAAGTCAGATCATATCATGTTCTGATCAGATGCTTAGATTATATTTACACTTCAGCTCAGTCTCTGACTTTGATCTCAATATAACAAAAGTGATGTTTATATTATAGACCAAATTTGCTAAATATTCACTTGAGATTCAGTGTTCAGTGTGAGAAGGACAGTATTAGTTTTAATATTTATTGCAGTGAGATTTATTCCTCAGTTATTAAGCCCAATCTCTCCTCAGGACATTAAGAAGTTCTCATGAGCAGACAGGACACTCTTTATGGTGGTATTTATTAAGACCTTGACATTGATGTGTGATTTTGTGATCGTAGGGACTGTCTGGGTGCCAGGGATCCGTACTGCGGCTGGGACCGGAAACAGAAGCGCTGTACGACGATTGAGGACAGTTCCAACATGAGCCAGTGGAGTCAAGACATCACAAAGTGCCCTGTAAGACACACTTTCAGACAACATCATCACACAGAAAAGAAAAATCACAAATTACATCTCTTTAATATCTCAGGTGTTTCTTCAACACAGCAGTGAGATTAAATGGACAGTAAATGGATTAATTCGTGATTAAGTCTCCTGTAACTTAATTATTATCTTGAGCAAAAGACCCTCTGTTCTGTTCTGTATTCAATTTTATTCTTTTCTATACTAATATATCATTTTCTGTTCTGTTCTATTCTGTTCTGTTCTATTGTTCTGTTATATTCTGCTTTGGTATATTCTGTACTCAATTATTCTATACTAATTACCTTTTTCTGTTCTATTCTAATCTATTCTATTCTGTATTGTTCTGTACTGTATGCTTGTATTCTGTTCTGTTCTGTTGTATTCCAGTCTGTTCTGTTCTATTCTCTTCTAAATTATGTTCTATTCTATACGCTGCTATTATTTTTTTATGTTCTGTTCTATTCTATTCTATACACTGCTATTCTTTTTTTGTTCTGTTCTACTCTGTGCTTTTATTTTTTATGTTCTATTGTATTTGATTCTGTTCTGTTTTATTCTATTATATTATGTTCTATTCTGTACGCTTATATTCTGTTCTGTTCAATTCTGTTCTGTATTCTGTTTTATTCTTTTCTATACTAATATATTCTGTTCTGTTCTATTCTATTTTGTTCTGTTCTATTGTTATATTCTGTTCTGCTTTGTTATATTCCGTTTTCTATTCTGTATTCACTTATTTTCTATACTAATCTATCATTTTCTGTTCTGTTTCATTCAGTTCTATTCTATTATGTTCTGTTCTGTTCTGTACTGTATGCTTGTATTCTGTTCTGTTCTGTTGTATTCGATTCTGTTCTATTTTCTACTCTGCTGTTACGTTTTGTTCTATCTATTCTGTTCTACTGTATACGCTGCTATTATTTTTTGTTCTGTTCTATATTCTATTATTTTCTATACTAATCAGTTTTTTTCTGTTTTGTTTTAGTTGATTCTGTTCTGTTTCGTTGTATATGTTTGTTTTATTCTATTCTATTCTGCACTACTCTATTCTGTTTTATTACATTCTTTTCGGTTCTATGTCGTGTTCTCTTCTGTACTCTGCTGTTTACTGTTCTGTTCTATTTTATATGTTTCTCTTCTGTTCTATACACTTCTATTCTTTTCTGTTCTATCCTGTTCTGTTCTATATTCAGTTTTATTCTATTCTGTTAATTCTGTTCTACTCTACATTGTTGTTCTGTTCTATTCTGCTATATATTCTCTTCTGTTCTATACACTTCTTTTCTTTTCTGTTCTATATTTTGTTTTATTCTTTTATGTTAATTCTGTTCTACTCTACATTGTTCTATTCTATTTTATTCTGGTCTGGTCTGTTCTGTTCTACGAACATTATTTAAGAGCTTCTGTGGTGAAGATACATAACAGCTTATTTTCTTTGAGTACACCAGAAATCTTGTATGATTTTTGAGCTGGTCTTGAAGAATCAAATTTCTGATGAAGAGCCTAGAAACCCAGCTTATCTGAACCCTTCGTCTGACACTGTCAATTACACGCTGGTGTTCTGCACGAAGGCTGGCCAATGTCATTCCTGTTCCTTCTTGACACTTCATTAGGTCCATAATTAGACATCACAAATTTCCTATTATCTCTGATGGTTGATATCCTCTGAGGAGCAATAATAAACAAACCTCATTTTCTACAACACTGTGGAAGCTTTGGCTTTGCCCCAAGTTGCATACTAATACTATGCATTAAAAGTACTTGCTATTATGCTAATAGGCAAAACCAGTTGTTTCTATTGTAATGGCTTTAAGCTGTGACAGTGAGTAAGAGTGTTTTCCCCAAACTTTTGCAGAATGAGCGTTGGCTCCATAGTTATGGCGTAAATCAACACTAAGTTACAACATGCACAGTATGCACTGCTAAATATTTGTGATTCACAACATTAAGCATACAAACAAAATAGTTACGTAAGATTCTAGTCAGAAATGACATTGGATAATATAGTGGACTGTTTAGATTGCATTGGAGTTCATGTTTTGCGCAAAAGACTCTCGTTTAGACTTATTTAATGATGTTGACATTTACATTTTAAGAGAAAGAACGTTACGTGAATAACCTTCATCAAGTGGGTGTTGTGCTGCTACTATCTCAATAAATCACACTTTTGTGTATAAACTGTAAGAGCTGTTACTGTATTATATATAGTTATTGTAACATTGTACAATAAGGTTCTATACATTAATATTAGTATTTGTATTATTAATATTAATGTATTTAGTGTTATGAATTAAAAATGGTCAATATTTTTTACAGCATTTAATCTTTATAAATATTAATTTATAAATATTTTAATGTTCATTGTTAGTTCATCATGCAAAAAATATTCATATATGCACACATTAACATTATCCAAGCTAATTTCTGTAAATTATTGTTTGTTGTGCTAATGAATGCAAACTTATGCAACCTTATTTATTGCCATGATTCATTTTACATAGGTTTCTGAATAATATTTACATATGTAAATATACTATTTTTGACTAATCATTTAACATTTTCTTTTTTGTGTCTCATTGGGAATTTAAACTATTCCTACGTAAAATGCTAAATAAATAAATAAATAAAAACAATAAAAATAAATGAAGAAACATCATCCAACTAAACTAAAATCCACAGCATTTCGACACTACATCTGTTTACAGTTTTAAAGGATGCATGTTGGATCAGTAATGGCAAACATCATGTTATGTGACAATACTACTTACAACCTCATTGCTACGTTTTTGGCTTGTCTTACTAATTAAGTGCCAAGTTGAGTACAGGCTAACTAACAGTTACTGCCCTGTTCCCACAGCAGAGCTGCTGATTCCTTGAACTTCCTCCTCATTGATTGGCTGAAGCTGAGGATCAGAGGAGCCTGAAAGGGAGTGAATTCATAGAAGGGCACACTGATGAGCATTACATTAACGATTTTTGTTATGCAGCAGGGAAAAGCCCCCAGTTTTTTTATTCTTGAAGTACAGTGAAAGTTGATGCAGGTCTCAAAATTTCTTTTACTATTAATTTGATTAACATTTGAGCGCTTCTGTGGTCTGAACTATTGGATGAATGGCATTGAGTTACTAATCCAGACTCACAGTAGATGTTGGTATTCACCTCAATGGACGCGCCACACACCTGCTCCCTGAAGATTACCCATGAATGGAGATGAATTTTACAGTTTTTATCCTTAGTACCTGTGCAATACATGAACCAGCTTCTAATGCAAACGGACACACGGGAGGAAAATTTGAATGGATTGAATTGATTTTGAATGAGATCATGTATGTGGAGACTTGGATAACTGCAGAAAAATTTCACTTTGTGACTTCTGATTGCAAAATTTTGTCTTCAAATAAGGCATGAATACTATTTTGAAACGGCCAACATGTTGGTAATATGCATGCTAATAAGCAACTAGTTAATAGTAAGAATTGGTGCTTAAAATAAAGTGTTACCTACTGAAGTTAGGTATTGGAATTGGAATCTGTACACTAAAAGGGTTTATGCTGAATGAAGTTTGAAAACAAGTACAAAAATGATTTTCCATGCAAACACTAAACCTGTACTTAAAACTTGCCTTGTTTGCATTTACATTTATAGGAGCGGAACCTCACCCAGGATGGTGGATTTGGCCAGTGGTCACCATGGCAGGCTTGTAACCATGACGACGGAGGTGAAGGCACCAGCACGTGTCAGTGTCGCACTCGGGCCTGCGATAACCCTCGCCCCCAGTGTGGAGGGATGGAGTGTGTCGGGGCGAACATTGAGGTGGCCAACTGCTCCAGGTACACCTACTGTACAAACCCATACGCTTGTTAAAGTAAACTAACCATGCTTGTTAAAGTTCAAATATGGCAAAACACTATAACAGTAGTTCATACGACTTGTGTGTGATATTCGAAGTCACGTGATAGCTTTGTGTGAGGATCAAGCTGTTATTTATGTCACTGACAATTTTCTCCTCTAATGTAGATCTCAAATCCCATCCGCACCCTGCATATAAACTTGACACGTTGTGATTGGTTACCAGACACATAAGAACCAAGTCGTTGAGCTTCATTGATGACAAACCTGGCGTGACTTTTAAAATGTTCTTTGAAAGACGTCTCTTATGCTCACCAATGCTGCATTTATTTGGTCAAAAATACAGTACAAACAGTAATATTGTGAAATATTATTAGAATTTAAAATAGCTGTTTTCTATTTGGATATATTTTAAAATGTAATTTATTGCTGTGATCAAAGCTGAGTTTTCAGCATCATTACTCCAGTCTTCAGTGTCACATTATCCTTCAGAAATCAGTCTAATATACTGCTATTCTATTCTGTATTGTTCTGTACTGTATGCTTGTATTCTGTTCTGTTCTGTTGTATTCCAGTCTGTTCTGTTCTATTCTCTTCTAAATTATGTTCTATTCTATACGCTGCTATTATTTTTTTATGTTCTGTTCTATTCTATTCTATACACTGCTATTCTTTTTTTGTTCTGTTCTACTCTGTGCTTTTATTTTTTATGTTCTATTGTATTTGATTCTGTTCTGTTTTATTCTATTATATTATGTTCTATTCTGTACGCTTATATTCTGTTCTGTTCAATTCTGTTCTGTATTCTGTTTTATTCTTTTCTATACTAATATATTCTGTTCTGTTCTATTCTATTTTGTTCTGTTCTATTGTTATATTCTGTTCTGCTTTGTTATATTCCGTTTTCTATTCTGTATTCACTTATTTTCTATACTAATCTATCATTTTCTGTTCTGTTTCATTCAGTTCTATTCTATTATGTTCTGTTCTGTTCTGTACTGTATGCTTGTATTCTGTTCTGTTCTGTTGTATTCGATTCTGTTCTATTTTCTACTCTGCTGTTACGTTTTGTTCTATCTATTCTGTTCTACTGTATACGCTGCTATTATTTTTTGTTCTGTTCTATATTCTATTATTTTCTATACTAATCAGTTTTTTTCTGTTTTGTTTTAGTTGATTCTGTTCTGTTTCGTTGTATATGTTTGTTTTATTCTATTCTATTCTGCACTACTCTATTCTGTTTTATTACATTCTTTTCGGTTCTATGTCGTGTTCTCTTCTGTACTCTGCTGTTTACTGTTCTGTTCTATTTTATATGTTTCTCTTCTGTTCTATACACTTCTATTCTTTTCTGTTCTATCCTGTTCTGTTCTATATTCAGTTTTATTCTATTCTGTTAATTCTGTTCTACTCTACATTGTTGTTCTGTTCTATTCTGCTATATATTCTCTTCTGTTCTATACACTTCTTTTCTTTTCTGTTCTATATTTTGTTTTATTCTTTTATGTTAATTCTGTTCTACTCTACATTGTTCTATTCTATTTTATTCTGGTCTGGTCTGTTCTGTTCTACGAACATTATTTAAGAGCTTCTGTGGTGAAGATACATAACAGCTTATTTTCTTTGAGTACACCAGAAATCTTGTATGATTTTTGAGCTGGTCTTGAAGAATCAAATTTCTGATGAAGAGCCTAGAAACCCAGCTTATCTGAACCCTTCGTCTGACACTGTCAATTACACGCTGGTGTTCTGCACGAAGGCTGGCCAATGTCATTCCTGTTCCTTCTTGACACTTCATTAGGTCCATAATTAGACATCACAAATTTCCTATTATCTCTGATGGTTGATATCCTCTGAGGAGCAATAATAAACAAACCTCATTTTCTACAACACTGTGGAAGCTTTGGCTTTGCCCCAAGTTGCATACTAATACTATGCATTAAAAGTACTTGCTATTATGCTAATAGGCAAAACCAGTTGTTTCTATTGTAATGGCTTTAAGCTGTGACAGTGAGTAAGAGTGCTTTCCCCAAACTTTTGCAGAATGAGCGTTGGCTCCATAGTTATGGCGTAAATCAACACTAAGTTACAACATGCACAGTATGCACTGCTAAATATTTGTGATTCACAACATTAAACATTAAGCATACAAACAAAATAGTTACGTAAGATTCTAGTCAGAAATGACATTGGATAATATAGTGGACTGTTTAGATTGCATTGGAGTTCATGTTTTGCGCAAAAGACTCTCGTTTAGACTTATTTAATGATGTTGACATTTACATTTTAAGAGAAAGAACGTTACGTGAATAACCTTCATCAAGTGGGTGTTGTGCTGCTACTATCTCAATAAATCACACTTTTGTGTATAAACTGTAAGAGCTGTTACTGTATTATATATAGTTATTGTAACATTGTACAATAAGGTTCTATACATTAATATTAGTATTTGTATTATTAATATTAATGTATTTAGTGTTATGAATTAAAAATGGTCAATATTTTTTACAGCATTTAATCTTTATAAATATTAATTTATAAATATTTTAATGTTCATTGTTAGTTCATCATGCAAAAAATATTCATATATGCACACATTAACATTATCCAAGCTAATTTCTGTAAATTATTGTTTGTTGTGCTAATGAATGCAAACTTATGCAACCTTATTTATTGCCATGATTCATTTTACATAGGTTTCTGAATAATATTTACATATGTAAATATACTATTTTTGACTAATCATTTAACATTTTCTTTTTTGTGTCTCATTGGGAATTTAAACTATTCCTACGTAAAATGCTAAATAAATAAATAAATAAAAACAATAAAAATAAATGAAGAAACATCATCCAACTAAACTAAAATCCACAGCATTTCGACACTACATCTGTTTACAGTTTTAAAGGATGCATGTTGGATCAGTAATGGCAAACATCATGTTATGTGACAATACTACTTACAACCTCATTGCTACGTTTTTGGCTTGTCTTACTAATTAAGTGCCAAGTTGAGTACAGGCTAACTAACAGTTACTGCCCTGTTCCCACAGCAGAGCTGCTGATTCCTTGAACTTCCTCCTCATTGATTGGCTGAAGCTGAGGATCAGAGGAGCCTGAAAGGGAGTGAATTCATAGAAGGGCACACTGATGAGCATTACATTAACGATTTTTGTTATGCAGCAGGGAAAAGCCCCCAGTTTTTTTATTCTTGAAGTACAGTGAAAGTTGATGCAGGTCTCAAAATTTCTTTTACTATTAATTTGATTAACATTTGAGCGCTTCTGTGGTCTGAACTATTGGATGAATGGCATTGAGTTACTAATCCAGACTCACAGTAGATGTTGGTATTCACCTCAATGGACGCGCCACACACCTGCTCCCTGAAGATTACCCATGAATGGAGATGAATTTTACAGTTTTTATCCTTAGTACCTGTGCAATACATGAACCAGCTTCTAATGCAAACGGACACACGGGAGGAAAATTTGAATGGATTGAATTGATTTTGAATGAGATCATGTATGTGGAGACTTGGATAACTGCAGAAAAATTTCACTTTGTGACTTCTGATTGCAAAATTTTGTCTTCAAATAAGGCATGAATACTATTTTGAAACGGCCAACATGTTGGTAATATGCATGCTAATAAGCAACTAGTTAATAGTAAGAATTGGTGCTTAAAATAAAGTGTTACCTACTGAAGTTAGGTATTGGAATTGGAATCTGTACACTAAAAGGGTTTATGCTGAATGAAGTTTGAAAACAAGTACAAAAATGATTTTCCATGCAAACACTAAACCTGTACTTAAAACTTGCCTTGTTTGCATTTACATTTATAGGAGCGGAACCTCACCCAGGATGGTGGATTTGGCCAGTGGTCACCATGGCAGGCTTGTAACCATGACGACGGAGGTGAAGGCACCAGCACGTGTCAGTGTCGCACTCGGGCCTGCGATAACCCTCGCCCCCAGTGTGGAGGGATGGAGTGTGTCGGGGCGAACATTGAGGTGGCCAACTGCTCCAGGTACACCTACTGTACAAACCCATACGCTTGTTAAAGTAAACTAACCATGCTTGTTAAAGTTCAAATATGGCAAAACACTATAACAGTAGTTCATACGACTTGTGTGTGATATTCGAAGTCACGTGATAGCTTTGTGTGAGGATCAAGCTGTTATTTATGTCACTGACAATTTTCTCCTCTAATGTAGATCTCAAATCCCATCCGCACCCTGCATATAAACTTGACACGTTGTGATTGGTTACCAGACACATAAGAACCAAGTCGTTGAGCTTCATTGATGACAAACCTGGCGTGACTTTTAAAATGTTCTTTGAAAGACGTCTCTTATGCTCACCAATGCTGCATTTATTTGGTCAAAAATACAGTACAAACAGTAATATTGTGAAATATTATTAGAATTTAAAATAGCTGTTTTCTATTTGGATATATTTTAAAATGTAATTTATTGCTGTGATCAAAGCTGAGTTTTCAGCATCATTACTCCAGTCTTCAGTGTCACATTATCCTTCAGAAATCAGTCTAATATACTGATTTGCTGATCAAGAAACATTATTATTGTCAGTTGCTGTTTTTTAAACTATATCATCAATTATTATTGTCTTTTTTCAGGATTCTTTTATGAATAGAAAATTCAAAAGAACAGTTATTTTATGAAATATAAATCTTTTGTAACATTATAAATGTCTTTACTGTCACTTTTGATCAATTAAATGCATCATTTATGAATAAAAGTATTAATTTCTTGCAAAAACAACCAACAACTTTTGAATAGTAGTACACATGATAGCTGTCGTGGAAGACTTACAAGTATACAGTTGCGCAGGTCATATGGATATAAAAGTCTTTAATTTTCTAAAGTCATCTAATTTTTCAAGTTTGACAGCATCTTCTTATTCACTGTCAATCCACAGAGAATGAAAACTCGTATGGGTTTTTATAAAAGTAAGAGAGTGAGTAAATTATTTCGTTTTTGGATGAACTAGGCCTTTATAATCTGGGACTCCCCATATTGAAGTGACAGGTGTAAACAGTGCGGCTAGACTGATATATGAGAGCCAGAGAGATCAGCCTGAAGTCTTCAATCACAGCCAATCAAAGTGTCAAAGCACATAAATATGTGATGCTTTTATTCCGTCTGATTCAGCTCTTCTATGAGAGAAAGGCACCACCCAACGCTAACAGCTGCAGAGAGTGAGGCCTCGAATCCATCAATCCTGAACTCTGATACAGACGTGCTGCGAGTAACGCCGGCTTTATTCATTAACTGCAAGCGGCTGACGCAGCGTTTCTGGCGGAGCAGCTCCTTCTTTCCTTCTTCATCATGTCCCATTATCCTGCAGTCACTTTCCGCCACTGAATGAATGTTCCAATTATATCTTCACCTAGAGCTTGTTTAAACACACACATCACCAGGTCTGGGTGCGAAAAAACTAACAGGACGCAATGTTTCACTATAACAGCAGAAGAGCAGCTGTGGCAGATCTATAATATAATATATATAATATAATGAGCTGCTAATACATCTTTGTCAGAAAGCTACTGTTAAGTTTAATAAAACTGATGTTACCTATCAGGCTCTAAAGTTGTGATCACAATCCTGCAAAGTCATTATCGGGCCCTTAGAAGGAGTCGCTTGACTTCAGGTGACTTCAGAGGGACTGTCCTTGTTATTAAAGAGGTAATATATTGGAAAACAGTATTTTCTTGCTCCTTTGAAATAAATACTTTGAAATAATACGTTGCAACAGTGAAAAGCTCCCAGTTCCCTCGTGCCCCTGTCCTACCCTTCATATCGTTTCAAACCTGTATGACAGATTTAAAGTCAGTGGGGTTTTGGACCCCATTGACTTCCATTGTATGGACAAAAACAGTTCGACTTAAACTAAATCTACAAAAATAATTTTGTAATTGAAATAATCTTAAACAATAAGAGATTTTAAATAAAAGAAGTTTAAATTGAAGTCAGTGTTATGGTAGTTAACTAAAACTAAAAATGAAACTAAAATTAAGACTATATATATATATTATTATTATTTATTTTTTTTTTTTTTTTAATTGTTACTTGAAATGAACGTTAATTGAAATAAAATATTAAACATTTTTATTTCAGCTAGTTGCCAAGGCAGAATTTCTCATTTTAACTTAGTTTAACTTGATATACTAAAATAACTAAAACTAAAACTGAAATAAAAATCAGTAAGACTAGACAGACATATAAACAGACAAAAAAAATAAAATAAAATAACAAAAACACAAGTTACTAAAACTTTAAAATTAAAATGGAAAATATAAAAATAAAAAACTGATTCAAAATATTGTACTGAAGTACTAAAATTACTAAAACTGAAATAAAAGTAAATTCAAGCTGTATATTTAACAAAAAGTAAATAAATAAAGCACTTAAAATTACTGAAACTTAAACTAATTCAATTGTATATATAAAAATAAAAGAAATACTAAAAATAAATAAAACAAATAAAAATGTCAAAAGCACACAACAAAATTATTGAAATGTAAACAAAATTAATTTGCAAATATAAAAATAAAAGATAATCCAAATATGAGTAAATACTATAATAGTATAGAAAAAAATACACTGAAAAGTATGTACAAAGATACATTTTTAAAACAATTTTGTTTCTACACAAGAAAGATGTCAAGCGTCACTTACAATTCCTTCTCAAAAATCGTTAACTGAACAGATCATTCTAATGTCACCATTATGACATCACAGCCCTTATCACATGACCGCCCACATTTACATATCCACACCGATACAGTGTGTAGCAGCTGCAGTGTTGAACGATAGTATGTACTACATTGGTGCAGAGGCTAGCCAATCATAAGTGAGCTCATTTACATATAGACTTCTAATACAAGTCTACTTTATTTAAAAGGACAGAGAGAAGGTTGAAAATAGTTACTACTGTTTTTTGTCCAAGAAACATTGACTAACATACAATAACAAAAAGTGACAAATATGGCCTCTTTAATGTATTGTGGATAAACTGACAGGTCACCAGACTGTGTTAGTGTGTGGTATCCATGCTAACCTGCTTCTGTTTGTTCAGGAACGGAGGCTGGACTCCCTGGTCATCCTGGGCCGAGTGCAGCACCAGCTGTGGCATTGGATTTGAGGTCCGACAGCGGTCCTGTAACAACCCAGCACCCCGACATGGAGGACGCGTATGTGTGGGTCAGGCACGAGAGGAGAGGTGGGTCGAGAGGAAAGATGGACTACAGGCTTATAGTTTTGATTTGATTTGATATGATTTGATATGATTCATCTGGGAGTCAGACTATGTTTTTAATTTACTACAGTTGAATCATAAATGTCAAGTGTTCAGGAATCGGTTGGACTACACTGGCTTTGCTTTATGGTTTGGATTCACTAAAAAGAACCAACTCTTAAGAGTCATTTGTTTGATTGTCTAACTAAACTGACTCATAAGTGTGTAAGTGTTTATTTGAGCTGACTGGAAGTTTGTGTGGGATTCAGATTGTGTAACGAAAAGAATCCATGTCCTGTTCCGGTGTCCTGGGTCTCCTGGAGCGCTTGGTCCAAATGTAGTGTTCCCTGCGGTGGTGGAGTCCAATCCCGTGTTCGAACCTGCGAGAATGGAAACACATGTCCTGGTTGCCCTCTGGTAGGGTCTTAAACAGGTCATATAAAAAATTAAAAAAAACTAATATCGGAAAAAGTTTTGAAAACCATGTGTGTTATTATTATTAGTAGTAGTAGTAGTATATTAATATGAATATTTTTGTTTAATTACATTATTATTATTGTTATTATTGTTGTTGTTAAATATAAATATTAAACAAAATAGGAAATCTACAGTTGAATCATAAATGTCAAGTGTTCAGGAATCGGTTGGACTACACTGGCTTTGCTTTATGGTTTGGATTCACTAAAAAGAACCAACTCTTAAGAGTCATTTGTTTGATTGTCTAACTAAACTGACTCATAAGTGTGTAAGTGTTTATTTGAGCTGACTGGAAGTTTGTGTGGGATTCAGATTGTGTAACGAAAAGAATCCATGTCCTGTTCCGGTGTCCTGGGTCTCCTGGAGCGCTTGGTCCAAATGTAGTGTTCCCTGCGGTGGTGGAGTCCAATCCCGTGTTCGAACCTGCGAGAATGGAAACACATGTCCTGGTTGCCCTCTGGTAGGGTCTTAAACAGGTCATATAAAAAATTTAAAAAAACTAATATCGGAAAAAGTTTTGAAAACCATGTGTGTTACTGTATCCAGGAGTATAAGGCGTGTAACTTGGACCCGTGTGCCGAAGTGAGGCGGACCACACCGTGGACACCCTGGTACCCTGTTAATGTGACTCAGATGGGGGCGAGACAGGAGCAGCGGGTCAGGTACACCTGCAGGGCTCTCCTCGCCGACCCTCACGACCTGCAGCTCGGCAAACGCAAGATAGAGACTCGCCTCTGTCCCACCAGTGACGGAGCTGCTGCCTGCGAGACTGATGGTACACACACACACACACAGCCTCAGAGGCACATACTCAAATATGCACACATCCTGTTTAAGATGGGGCGGCACGATTTTGGGGGAACAATCTAATTGCTGTTTTTCTGATAAAAATTGCGATTAAAATGTGATTTGAAAAACACATGTTTAACACATGTTCTATGTTTGCTATGCTTGTTTGTAGGTACAATTTGGCCCGAAATGTTAGATAGATTTATAAAATAATATTTTATTTTTATTTAGTAATAATAATAATAATAATAATAATTATGATTAACAAATAAAATATTAAACATAATAAGAATTTATTTCTTTTATTATTCTATTATTTTTTTATTTGGTTTAATTTCCTAATTTTCAAACGTTTAACCATCAAACTTTTATTTTGACGGAACACCACAGGGGAGCCTGTAAAGCTTCACTTTTGTTGACAGCAGCTGGTTAATTAGCGCTTCTCATTACAAGTATGGGTAGATGGTTGCCACGTGTTGCATTCCTAAATGCATAAGTGACCTAAACTCAGATCAGATGCTGATGAAGTTTGTGTGGAGCAATATTTACATGTGAATCACGCCACTTTGAGACACTGAAAGCACTGTATCAGAAAGCACAGTGCTGCTCTTCACTTTAAAACGCACCATGCATATATTTATGTAATGAAATCGCAGCCTTGATAATTGCACTAATCCATATTGTGCAGCCCTACTAAATGCACACTTTTATATTTGTATAGGTCTAGTTGAGGATTTGTTGAGAATGGGTCGACCTGTGACACGAGTGCAAGGAGCCGCCTGGTCGTCATGGGAAACGTGGTCCGCATGTTCCAAAGAGTGTTCCAAAGGCTTCCGCACACGCAAGCGCTCCTGCGCCACACCGGATGGCAAGAGCACGCCGTTCGCCTGCAGCGGAGCGCCGGTCGAATATCAGGACTGCAACACTCAGCCGTGCCCAGGTCTGAGAGTGCGTTGTATCCTTTTAAGTATGTCACTCATGTCCTGTTAATGGAGTAGTGTAATAACAGGTGTTGTTCTTCAGTGAAGGGGGCGTGGTCATGCTGGTCTTCCTGGTCTCAGTGTTCTACTTCCTGTGGCGGCGGTCACAACCAGCGCTCCCGTACCTGCTCTAACCCTTCCCCTGCTCATTCTGGAGACATCTGCATCGGCCTGCACACAGAGGAAGCGCTCTGTAACACACACGAGTGTGAAGGTGAGAAAAAACTTGCAGCATTAAAAGAATATAGTTTTTTTAAAGGGGAGGTCTAATGCTATTTCATGCATTCTGACTTATTTACACTGTGAAAGAGTTGGATTCTCATGCTAAACGTCAAAAAACGATTTGGACGTATGATGGAGTACTTCGGTGCCAAATACACTCCTTCAGGGTTCGTATAAGTTATGGAAAGTTTTTTCCGAGTATGGCTCTGTATGACGTCATAAAGGTCAGAATTCCTTGTATGGGCCGGAAGAGTACGCACACACAACCAGAGCGAGAGCAAGAGCAGCCCATCTACATGCTTCATTCGGGTTACGGGAGTCGTCGGCACAGGACTTCTAAGAAAATGTCTTCAAAGACGTGAACAGTGGATGCAGTTTGTTTTTTCGGGGCAGCAGCGGAGTTGCTCAAATGTGTTTGTTTGTTCCCGTCATTTCGGTGACGAAAGTTTTATAAACAAGACCCAGTTCGATGCTGGATTTCAGACTGGGGATCAGATTCTGGATCAAATATGTATGACTGGATCTGATTGTTAACCATATTTAATTTAGGCCCCGTCCACACGGAGACGCGTTTAGCTGTATACGCATTAATTTTGTATCGTATAGGCATTTCGTCCACACGGATCCGGGGTTTTGGGAGAGTGAAACCGATATTTTTTGAAACCGTGTCCCAGAGTGGATAAATCTGAAAACGCCACCCTTGCGTTTTCGTTAACTAACATTAACATAGATTAATAAATGTATTGTTCCATGTTCGATTGTATACCGCGCGCAAGGTTTATGTTCCCTCGTTACCCTCCTCATTTGCTCCCTATTTATTGTCCTTGTGTTTGCAGTCCTGGGCCAGTTTGTCATCGTATCACAGTCGAATGTTCCCTGTCGTGTGCCTTGTCCTGCCAGCCAGTCAAGATGCCAGCTGTTTTTTCCCCTACGGGGTAGTTTTTGTTTGTTTTGTTTTGTTTCTGCCTTTAATAAAGCCCTTATCTTCCTGCAATATTGAGTCCTTGTTCCATCCTTCATCCCCAACCCTGGCAATGTCGATGTCACAGTTTGTAGATGATCGCTACTCAAAAGCTTTGTGTGCTCGTGACTCTTTAGCTCCACCCACGGCATGCCTCCAGTAGCTCGACTGTTTTCAGCTACAACTGTAGCATATTTCATTAGTTTATTTTTATATTTTTATTAATGGCCAAAAGAACCTCATAAGAGTAATTCGATTGGGAATCGATTGAACTGTACCAGTTGTTTTGAATGTGACTGATTCACTAAGAATAACTGGTTCATAAGAGTTATTCATTCTGGAATTGGTTGAACTACACCAGTTGTACTGTGTGTTTGATTCACTGGTTCATAAGGGTAATTCATTCAGAAATCAGTTTAACCCTAACAGTTGTAACAGTACTGTATTTGTTTGATTCAGTAAGAATAACTGGCTCATAAGGCTCATTCAGTCGGGAATTGGTTGGTCTGAACTAGTTAATCCGTATATGTTTGATTCGCTTAAAAGAACCTGTTCATAAGAGTAATTTGTTTGGGAATCAGTTGAACTGTACCAGTCATTTCATTTGTTTGAAAATTGTGCTAAATGCTTTTAATTCACTAAGAGAACTAAAAGAGTAATTTTTTTCAGGAAACAATGGTTTTGGTTTTGATTCACTAAAAATAATAAATTTTTCCGAGTCATTTGTTCGGGAGACTAACCACACTGGTGGTTCTTTTGAATTACTACAAACAAAACAGCTTAAAAGAGTCATTCATTAGGGAATAGAGTACACAATATGCTATACACAATACAGTAGTTGCACTGTATGTTTTTGATACACTAAGAAGAACCGATTCACTCGTTTGTGAATCTGTTGGATTGGGACAGAAATCCCCCACTTCCCCTTGAAATACTCTGCATGACTGTGTTAATGATAACTAATGATAACACAATTGTGAAATCTGTGTTTGTTTATCTTGCTCACCTGTGTCAGGTGGGTGGGGGGCGTGGTCAGAGTGGGCGGAGTGTAACGAGGAGGCGCTGCTGCTCAGGACTCGTACATGTGAAATAAGCTCCGCCTCTTGCCAAGGAAACTCCACAGATCAGAGACAGTGTCGACCCAATGAGAGCGCAGGTTAGTTAATTTCCCTCTTTTTTTGTTTGTTTCTTTCTGGCATCTCAGACTACAGCGTTGTTTCACATGCACGTCTTCATTTTTTTAATTCTAGTGCTGTCAGAGGGACAGAAGAGGAGCACAAACTGTGGAGGTAAATCTGACTTACATCATCCAGCATTCAGGTTTTGATGTGTCTAATGACCCTAGTGAAACATTTCTTTCTGTTTTGTCTCCTGCAGGGTTTTCTCTGTTCCATTTGGTGCTGACTGGAGCGTGCTGTTTTCTGGGAGCCGTTTTGTTGTCCATCCTGGTGTATGTGTACTGCCAGAGACTCCGCAAACCCCCTCAGGAATCCGCAGTTATCCATCCCAGCACCCCCAACCACCTACACTATAAAGAGAACAGCTGTGCACCCAAGAACGACCTATACACACCCATGGAGTTCAAGGTATCCCATCATGCCACAGTGTTCTCTCTGTATTACACTTGTGCAGTGGTCCTTAACTGGTGGGTTGCAACCACAACACTGATTAGTGCAGATAATAAAAAGCACTTAATCATATAATCAAGTATTGTTAATATAGAGAAATAAATAGGCTTTAACTTTTAAAGGGAAGGAGAAAACAATTCCTACAATTCAAGAAACCAAAATAGTCATTATTAATTGTGCAAATTGTTTGGCCTATGCAGTTCATGATTATTTTATTTTATTTAATAATAAATAAAAATTATATAAATAAATAATGTTTCAATAAAAATGTTATTATATTTGTTATATTTTATATAATATTTAAAAAATATGTTAATGTATTATTAATACATAATTAATATATACTATTGTTATATATTCTAAGTATAATATATGAATTCATATTATTATTATTATTTGTTTAATAAATAATTCTGGTCTTGGCGCAGTTGAGATTGACAACGCTCCCT